GGTAGGGGCCAGCACCACTTCCCTTGGAAGTTGGTTCCAGCTCCTAGCCGCCCTAACTGTGAAGTAGTTTTTGCGGATGTCCAATCTATACCTCCTCTCCATCAACTTGTGCCCATTGCTTATTGCTAATATTTAAATTAAAATTGCTAATACTAATCTTCAGCCAGATTGTTCATTAGTGTTATGATGTAGTGTTTCATTACTTGATCACAAACTAGAGGTGCACTGATACATTGGTCCATATCTTATTGGCACCAATAAAAGGAAAATTGACCTTATTGGCAATCAGATTTTTTTGGCTGACGTGGCCGATAATGTTGCCAATAAATGCTGTGTGCACGTGCACAGCTGCAGCATGCATACGGCCAGCCCAGCAGCTTGGAGAGCAGCGTCTGGCTCATAAGTCTGTTGGGATAAGGGGAAGGGAGAGGGCAGATACAAGGCCTCCACAGTGAGGGAGGGAGTAGAGCAGGGGCAAGCACTACCCAGGCGGGGCAGGCTGGGGTGGGGCGCGGGACTGAGCTGTGAGCAACTCATCCAGGAAGTGATGCCTCTCGTTGCTGCACACACCCTGGGGGAGGCATGGGGTAACATATGCCCCTGGATCTGTGCACAGGGTGAGGGCGGGCTGCTGCTGTGGGTTGGGGTCAGGGGTGGCGCCAGGGCTGCGCTCAGGATGGGTGGCAGCAGCACTGGGAAAAGGGCTACGGGTAGGCTATGGCCGCCCCAGAATTTATTGTAGCTCTCCTCCCCCATAACCCTCCACCTCCCAGTGCTGCTGCTGCCAAACTTGAGCAGAACCCCAGTTCAGTGCCCTCACCCTGCCCCCAGAAGAGCCTGGCCCCACCCTCACCCTGCACACAAATCCAGGGGGCACATGCCCCCCCATGACACCCCAGAAGGTGCGCACAGCAGCGGGGACAGCCCCTGCCCCTACCTAGCTCCAGCCCCCCTCCCCCCCTCACTGTGGGGGCCTTGATCTGCCCCCCCCACTCCCCTTCCTGCTCCCCCCATGCCTTCCCCTCCATAGACTGACCACTGGGCAGGGTGTGGGT